ATGAGATTTCCAGCATTAGATGCAGCTTTACAATGCCTCCCATCAGAAGAGCCTCTTACTACAGTCACCCGCATTTACAGTGAAGCACCAAGCTGCTTGATCAACATAACACGAAGATTAGTGGAATTTTTCATTAACACTTCAGTGTAATAGGCCTTGCTATTACAACGGCAAAAGCTGTGTTTAACTGCAGAAGATTGTAATGTGAGCTAGGTTCAGTTATAAGGACTCTGTCTAAATTCTGTGTGAATGTTTGATAACAATGGAGAATGATCTGGTTCAAATTGTATTAAGCAAGGGCTCCACCCTTAATAAAACAGTTTTATCTTTGCTTAATAACCTATATTAGATGAAAGAAAGATCTGATATTCATAACTCTCAGCAATCAAATTATAAGAACTTTCCCCACAGAATTCAACCATTTGCTTTACACATATTATTCCTGTTTACCTGATCTCTTTGGGTAACCTTTTGGCTCTCAATGTCCATTTTTTTTTAATTAGCAAAGATAGAGTTCTCTCTGTTACAGTTCTATTAATTAAGCTAAGGGAGCAGATTGATTGCACACATTGTATTTTTAGTCATGCATTGTGCAGGAGAGACCAATAAAACTCAATTAGCAACCATAGATGGAAGGTTGAATAGTTTACTTTATACCAGTAAATAGATGCAATTCAAAATGACTTTTTTTTACGTGTACACGTTATGGACCTTTTTTTATTGGTGACATTTTCATTGATCAAAACATTGTAGAAGTTATTTCTTTCCTTACTGGGAAGAGAGTAGCCCTGGGACAGGATAGGTTCTTCTGGAAAGGGACTTGCTGTCCTGCCCTGGAAGGGAGGTGAAGACAGCTGGTGGCAGATCCAGCAACACTCTCAAGGCTCCAGGGCTCTGCCCTCTGCTGGAGGGGGCAAACTCCTGATAGTTTGTACTAGCCAAGCTCTGAAATACACAATTTACAGCCTCGATTTACTTAAAAGGATCAATTTGTACTGTTTGACTTCATTCAACTGTGGAATATGCTGGATGTTGACTTAACTATGCCCTTTCATAATATACCAACCAGCATCATCACACCCACCCCAGGTGAGCTCAGTCCAGGCCTGTGACAATACTTACCCACAACTTCTCTCACGCTACAGTGCACCATACTTTCACATTCCTAATATTTGCTAGGTGTAGGGTTCTGCTCACCTCCTGGGAGGACCGCTGTCTGGCTCTGCAGTAGAAACACTAGACATCTAGTACATCACCAGCTGAGTTTGGAACCAGAGGGGCAGCCCTGCCCCCTCTTCTATCAGAGTCTGGGGAGCAGTCAGGTAGCATCGTCGAGTCTATCAGACCTTTAGTATTCAGCAGAGTCAGGAGCCAGAAAAGCAGCCTCAGTTTCCATCAGGAAAAACTAACCAGTTAGGCAGGTTGCTTCCCTTTCTGGGAAGACTCCATGGTCTTCTCCACATGCTGGTCTTCTTTCTTCACGTATTGCAAACATTTCCACTGCATCTGTCTGTCAGCATTTGTAGCTTAATAAGGCTGCTTTTGCCAGGGGTCTCTCATAGGGCCCTATTGGATGGGTCCACCTCCACCATCTCCATGACACCTACTGCCATCAGGCCAACACTGTCCCTGCTGCTCAACTGCTCTGACTCTCCAGCATTCTCACTCATACAGCACACATTTCTAACACTTCCATACCCCCTGTCATACCACTTCTCTGCTGACTACAGCCAGCAGCCACTTCTGCTTGATACAGCTGCTTTCACTGGGCTCAAGACTCTTTCCAGCAGGAGAGAGTCTGATGATGGGTAGTGTGTGATTATATACTGTAGGATTTCAGCTCCCACTTCTGAGTTCCCAGCTGCCACCCTTTATGGCAATAAGTCATGGCAGCTCGGACCTCCCCGATAGGCATCAGCTGTCCCCATCTTACAGTAATAAAATGCCAAACTTTTGATTAGCAAAGAGCTTGCATACTGTATATTCCAATCATCTTGTTAGTTCCATTGAGGCTTAAATGTGGAATGAAAATCGCAAGTATGTGGTCCTCTGAGGCAAGGATTGGGAATCCTTGATTTAGGACAGTGATGCTGACATGTTTGTGAACTATTTCTTTGTGCCTACCGTATACCTTGCCAACATGTTAATATTTAAATGCATTTAAGTTACAGTATATGCTCCACAAGCAAGTGTGTTCAAACTTTTCTGTGATCTCATTCTACAGTATTTGGTCTACAGTATTGTTCTGCAGTGTTGCATTATCACCACCAGTGTCTGGGTACTTTAGACACATGATAAGTTGCCTGAGGGTTAACACAATTAGATAAAATGGAAGTTAAACATCACCATCTGCCCATAGTAGCTGTGCATATTCCTCTAATAGCTTGGCCTTTGATTTCACATGCAATGTCTGTAGGCCAGTGTCAGATGCACACGAGAATAGAGGCAAAATCTGCATTCTTCCTTTTCTGTCGCGAGAGGAATCCACATCTAATCAAATTCAAAAGTGCAATAAGGCGACGGGAAACAACACCAATCTGCCTGAGTCAGTTCAGATGGCTATGCTCCGATCTGACACTCTTATTGCCAGATTTGACATAACGTGTCCGTCTCTGTATATCTGAAAAGTTGACTTGAATCTTTTATTTTTCATATTCATGCCTTTAAGCAACTCAGGCAGTGAAAGTGCACCAAAATGCCACAGTTCATTTGGACACCGACTGTTTCTGCTTGTATTAAGAGCCCCCAGGGGAGATCAATCTGAACAAAGCTGTGGATATGTGTTTTGACAGTGCACGACTGAAAATGCAAAACCTTATAAACCAGAAATAACATTTAAATGTGTCTACCGGTCGACTTTGTTTATGCAACTTTTTTCTGTCCGTCATCATTTTACAGGTCATGAAATCTTACATTGTGTTCCATCGTCTTGTTCCATAGCACAGGCAGCTTGGCTCTTATTTAATACAGGGATTACTTGGCCTGATTTACACAGTTTTTATGTCACTGCAGTGTTTGTATTATTATATTGAACCTCCTTTTATTCTTCATTTCTTTGTCCCAGTCACTGTTTTTTAGTAATAGTTTGCAAAAATCAAATACATGGCTCTAACAAAACGACGAGGCACAGCTTTATCTTCCTGAGATGAACTAGTAAAATTGTTTCACACAGCTAACTTGAAGCTTAAATACTGTACCATCAAAAACAAAATGCACTTCAATGACCCTATGGTAGAAATTCTTGAAATATAAAA